ATTTGCTTTTGCCATGTTGTTTATTCAAAGTGTAACTATAGAGGAACTTATAGAGTTGCGTAAGTATCGACAGAGACCACAAGGGATCGAAGCTGAGAAACTGTTTAAAGGTGATCCAAGGAAAAAGAAGAAACGAGAGGATGATCCGTGGAAGGCAAAAACTGGTGGTCTTGTCGATCGTGATGCTCTAAAAAGTGAAAAGTAAGTTATATATTCCGTTTTGGAGTTTATCGTAAATGGGACATCGTCAGAACACGGATAATTTGTGTGTGCGTTGTAGACATTAAAACATGGTGATGTGTAATGGCGTTCAATCAAGCTTGTTGAGAGACGATTTGTCGCGTTTTTAGCACAAACACATGCAAGTGCTCACTTTCCCGTCTGTATACTTGGATATTTGTAGAGAAGATGAGTCCGATTCTGAGCAGCGCAAAATTATGCTAGATTCATTCACTAAACAAACCAATGTCCTCGATGTTGATAAGCATATGTAAGTATGAATATTTACACATCGCATTTTGGTTCATGTCTTTGTTATTAGTTACTTGCTTTAACTTTTGAATTTCTTATTAACTGCGGTGATCGTCTACAGGATGGCATATATAGAAGAAGAGATGAGCAAACGAAGGGGACAGGCATCTTTAAAGAAGGAAGAGGACGAAGATGCGCCTCTTCCTAATCCAGAAGATGAACTGTTTCAGTTACCTGAGCATTTGAAGGTGCATATTAGTAGTGAACAACGTGCGAACGTTTGAATTATCGTTAAATAACATGCATTGATTCATTACGCTCGTATTCGATAGATTGAAACGAAGCCGATATCAGAAGGCAATGTTCAGTTGTCGACGACTATGTTGACTGCTATACCCGAGGTTGATCTTGGAATAGAGTATGCTGGATGTGCATAAACTGTAATATAAGACTTACGAAACAACGTCATTGACTTTGTTTACTATTATTGCAGTGTTAGATTAAAGAATATAGAAGACACCGAAAAAGCAAAAAGGAAGTTATTGGAGCAAAGACAACATAGATCCTTGAATGAATCTGAGGAGGTAAATATTATCCGTTTGATGTATCTTGTTAATTTGCTTACAAGGTTTAATGTTTGACTGGACAACTTTCTGAATTGATGTCAACAGTTTAGCGGTATCAACCAGGCTGCTACAAATCGATGTAAGTTGATAGTTACTCTCATTTGCTTAGCAATCCTAATTTCTGGACTTTTGATTTATGGGACTGATGAAAATTCTTGCTTTTCACGTCACAGTTTATCGTACGCGCCCGCCATCAAAGGAAGTCGACCGCGTTCAACCGGATCAGTCCGATAAAGTGACACAACAGAAGACTGGGGGAAGACGAGAAATGGCAACAGATGACATAGTAGCCGAACGATTTAAAAAGAGACTAAGACGATAGTATACGTGGACAACATTATGTAATAGTTGCGAGCCAAACAGATAGATTTAACCTATGCGATGCATTGGCTGACAAATGTAATATGGAACCATTTCAATAGATTTATTAATACATGAATACATTGACGGCTTAACCTCATGATCAGCTACTCTGCGTGGTCTGAAGGAATCTTTTTAACATGTTGTTCGAATAGATTTGACGTTTAAGTGCCAGCTTTTCTGATTACGGATTATTAGTTAGAACGTTGAATGATGAACGTGAAAATGATACCCTAACTCTCCAGGAATATCTGGATAAAGAAAAAATCACTTATGAAATTTATCAAGAGGAAAGGAAAATCATAACTCATAAATGAGCATTAACACCAACACATGATGAATTAAGAAAGAAGCGAAAACTTGAAGATAAGCAGTTTAACATTCCTTATAGTTTTTGACTTGTTGATAAAAAACTGTTTGAATGCATTTATTGAGCTTTGACCGCGTTCACTACTTTGACATAATGCAATTAAAGAGTCAAACAATGTAAAAATAGTCCAATTTTTTCGTAAGCATAAATTTTATAGAATAGCATGCAACTTCACATCAAATAATTATGACTTTTCTTTTGCCCTTTTACATACAGTCAAACTCCGATATAGTAAAGTTGACGGGATAGGGACTTTTCTTTACTATATCGAAGAATTTACTATATCGAAAATTTTCAATATAGTAAAGTTCATATATAAGTGGCATAAATCTTCACTATATCGCGAC